CCTGCCGCTCCCCGCGCAGCCAATCTGGGCCCATGTTGGGCTCCCATAAACTCTGTTTTTTCCATTCCCGTCCTGGCTCAGAGGCACTGTGTTTCCTGTGCTCATAGGAACAGTACTCTGGTCACAGGACCCAGCTGCTTACACATACCCCATATGCTTCCCCTGCTTCGCACACACGTAAGCGTGGCTCCCACATCCCAGCCCAGCGCATTGCGTGCGGGGCAGCTCATCCATCTGGGGGCAAGATCCCTTCGGTTATTTCTCAGGCTTCAACTCTCTCTGGCTGTCTGAGCCCCAGCCAGAAACGCCTCGGTGTCAGTGGCAACTCCAAAAAGCTTCGCAAAAAAAATAAGGGGTGGTTTTAGATCTTATAATGAGATCACCAGAATAATAGCACCAGCTTCCTGCTGGAGCCAGGGTCGCGGGCCATCTTCCTGGCCTGGGTCAGGCAGAGGGACCTCCTCTTCCCTGCCTGCGGCACAGTGCACCACCCCATGTGGGCAGCATGGGACCCTGGTGCTGCTCACCGGCCTTCCTGGCCCTGGGGCTGCGAGCAGAGATCACAAATCATCCCCCAGCCAGCGCAGGGGTGGGGAGAAGGCAGCCTTCGTGGTGAAGTGTTGTCTCCAAGCCGCGCTGGGAAGCCTTGGCAGGGAGCGGGGAGCTGGGAACGCAGCCGGGGTGCCAAGGTGGCCCTGCCGTGCCTGGGGGGCCAGCACCCAAGGGCCAGGGAGGGGGGGAAACAGCGTGGGCACAGCATGTTGTGGGATGGGTGCAAGGGCTGGGGCAGAGTGGGGAGTTCTGAACTTCACGGCCCCCTCTCTCTCATTGCAGACGATCCCATCCGTTTGCTCAGGGAAGTGGTTTTGCTGACGGACGACCGGAACCTGCGAGTTAAAGCATTGACCCGCAACGTGCCCGTGCGGGACATCCCCACCTTCCTCAAGTGGGCCCAGGAGGGCTGAGGGGGCTGAGCGGGGCCGACGGCCCCTGAGCGAGTCACGCAGCCTCTTGCGGTGGGAGACCGGCTTCAGCGGCAACCCTCACCACGCGCCGCCACCGCCTTCCAGCCCACCACGAACAATAAACGCCACGTCTTCAACCCACCCCAGAACGGCCATGCTGCGAAGGGCCCCCCCCCGAGGGCAGACCAGCTGGGAAGGTCATTGCTGTGGATGGTTCATGTGGAGGCTGGGCCGCTGAGGGTCCCACCGGCCTTTGGGCAGTGCCAGAGCGGAGCTGGTGAGCCCCGCTGGCTAGGGAAGCTTTGGGTGAGTCCGTGCCGGATCGCCAGCCTTTTGCTTGGTTTGCTTGGTTGCAGAGAGCTCGAGTCACGAGTCAGTGGCTCTTCAGGTTTGTAGGCTGCGTAGGGCAGAGACCGGGGACACGCCAGCACAGATTTTGGGATTGCTTAGTCTAGCTCGTGCCCCTTGGAGAGGCCGTGGACTTCAGGCAGGTTCCCTCCTGCCGCAGCCTGTTTGTCCTGCGTGGCCCAGGCAGCCCCAGGCCTCCAGCCCCTTCCCCACCCCACGCCTGCCCCACGCAGGGGTTGCTGCTTGCGGAGGTGCTTGTCCTCTCCCTGGTGCAGGGTTTGCTTGTTGAGTTTCATTTCAGCCTTCAGTATAGGTTAGTTTTCAGCTGTGTGCCCTGCCTGCTTTGCTGAGGGGAGGCTTTGAAAACCCCCCCCAACCCCCACGGCTGCTTTCTGTTCTGCTCCCCTGCTCACCCCAGCCATTGCCTGCCCCTTCCCTTCCCCCCCCCCAAACCCCTTAGTTCCACCCCACTACCTTTAGACGCATTTTTGACCTAACACTCAGCATGAGCTTAAGAAAATCCTCCAAGTCCCCAAGGACCCCAGGACCGGTGGTTCCACAGGTCCCGTGTGTCCCTGCATCACGGTGGGCTCCTCCTGCATGTGGGATCCGGCTTCTGCCTGTGACTGCGGAGCTGGGCAGGGCTGGAGAGGGCCGGGGCAGCACCCGGCCCCCACTGCTTGCCCAGCTGGGAGGATCCCCTCTTGAGTTGCCCCTTCACCGTGGAGGGAGCCGTGAAGGGACCCCACTGCCCCATCACTGGGTCATACCGCGCCAGGAGCCGATGCAGGGTTGGGGTGCTGCTGAGCCCCCTCCACACCACGTTGTCCCATTCCCCATCCCGATTACACGCCAGATACAGAAGCTGAGGGATCATTAACCCCTGAAGCGGAGCCCCTGGAGCTCTGTCAAGTCCCAGTCCCATGAGCAGAGGGTGGGAGTGACCCCAAGGCCGTCCCCAGTCCCCACTGGGGTGCCACGGCCATGGGAGGGAAGCATCAAAAGGTGGCAGAGGAAGTAGGACGGAGCCCAGTGTTTTCCTTTCCTGCGTGGGTGGCTCGAACCCGGTGTCTGCATCAGGAAGACCAGCGTTACCCCTGCACCGGCCACCCGGCCTCAAGGCGAGAGCCAGGGTTGGAGTCTTGGCAGCGCCCAGGCTCAGTGGGGCTGCACGGCACAGCGACGGAGACGAGCAGGGTTGTGCTCGCTAACCTGTGCCGTACGACTGTCCCAGCCTCGGGGCACCGTGCAGGGCAGGCTGCCGGCGAAGAAGGGGCTGAGCCGCAGGGCAGAACCTGTTCAACAGAGACTTTGGGGTGCCCACATCTGCTGCAGGGTGCACGGAGCCATCGCTGCAGCTGAGCCCACCTGGGGCCGCGGCGCACACAGCACCCGCGCCCCTGTTCGGCGCCCACAGCCACGTGCAGTGCCGTGCTGGCCGTAAGCACCGCGTAGACTTTTGCCTTCTCCTCCGTGTTTAAAGGTTTGTTTTCTAACAGAGCCGCCCCAGGGCTGCTTTCCAAGGCCCCTCCCAGGGTTCCACCGGCTCGGAGGGACCTGCAGCTGTGCCGGGTGCCGATCCCTCGC